GGTTGGTCTTTTTTGTGTGTGGTGCATGAGGCTTCCTTTGGTTCCACATCCTCACCAAAAGCTGGTATTGTTAACTTCTTATTTTATCCATTCTAATGGGGCTGCAGAAGTATCTTTGCTAAAACAAGCAATTTCTAATTTCCTCCCAATTTTACCATGAGTCTGTAATTCTGATGGTACGAAAGATAAGATGTGTAAGAATCACAAGAAAGTATAGTAAAATCTCTAATTCTGAGCTCACTCATTTCAGGAACTCGTAGAATATGGACACACGATACTTGGCAAGGACATGTGCAAACTTTCATGAACACTGTGAGATCCTCATGGTCAAGATGTTACTATAAGATGTTTACAAAGCTAAGCCAGTGTCTCCTCTGAACCATGGAAAACTGAGCAGTCAACTCTACAAATATTTGCACACCTACCATGTGTAAACAAACCCAAAGAACAGTTTAGCCCTTATCTTACTTGGCCTCTCACAGCACGGTGACCCCATGAGCCCCACCCTTCATTGAAGGAACATTCTCTCCCCCCAGCACTTCTGGTCTCCTTCTGGTCAACCTCTGGTCAGTCCTCTGAATTCTTCTATACCTGATACCTCTACTATCTACAGGTATATACCCCAAACCCTTACCTCACATTCAAGTCTCTCTTCCAAGCCCCAGGCCCAGGTGTCCCACTGCCCTAAATGAAGTCCTAAATTTTCACTTGGAAATTTCACAAGCCCACTCAGAACAGGATCCTCCAGGTCCTCACCCCTGCACAACTGAGTGATGTGAGTCCAATCTGGAAAGCTCAACCTCATCCCTGACTCCGCCCCTCCCTCACCCTACCACTATCTCTTCCAAAAGCAAGCTTTATCTCCTCGACATCACTCAAAGGACTCCACTTCTTCCCATTCTACACACTCGCCCACTTCCCCAGTTGAGGTCGCCGCCCTCTCTCACCTTTAGAAAAGTCAGAGCTTCCACTGCAGGCCTCAGGCATCCTGGACGTGGAGGAGGCCTGGGACCAACTGGCCTGGGCCACAAGGGAAAGCCATCGCCTGTGCTGATGACACCCTGCCTGCCATGGGCCTTCCCTTTGGAAACTCTACAACCTGCATCCTCTTCCCACCCTAGTGACCAAATGTTGATGTAACTTCCGGTCTGTGGGGGAACTTCTCAGGTTTGATTATGCTGGTCAGTATACCATGCAGGATAAAAGTCTGATTATAAGATCACCAATCTCCCAAGAATATTTATGTCCTTTATCCCCTTCCATATGAGTATCATTTTTCTTCTAGTCCCAAGAGGCAGCCCAGCTAAACATTTTTTCAGGGAACATTCAGGAACTGCTCTAACATTCCTCTTGTACTTGTAATTTCTCTTTTAATAATAGAAACTCTTTTCCTACCTTCCAAGTACAATATAAACACATCTACAGCATCAGTCAACATGTGAGTCTACTTTCCCAATGCTTATATTGTCACACCTTCTTATCCACTGCTGTGATCGTACGACTATTCTGCTTGTTTTCTCAAATAGGAAGATTTTTCTCTACTATTTAACAGCAAACACTTCTTCCACAACAGACCTTGCAGATGTCTTGATATTGGTGTCCAAACACCAAGTCTAAAGGGATTTCTCTAAGGCCTTTCTCCTCAAAGCCAAAGGAGGAAAGTTAGTTGTCAGCTGGGTCAAAACCATGGCCACAGCACTGCCTTAGGCCATGGGAAGTAGTCCTGTTAGCATCATAAAAACGAAGGCATGGTTGCCCTGCTGGTGTGGCTCAGTGGATGGAGCATCCTCCCATTCATCAAGAGGTCACTAGTTCGATTCCCCGTCATGGCACATGCCAGGGTTGCGGGCTGAATCCCCAGCAAAGGGTGGGCGGGAGGCAGCTGATCAATGTTTCTGTCTCATCAATGTTTCTCTCTCTCTCTCCCTCTCCTTCTTCTCTCTATAAAATCAATAAAAACATATTTTTTAAAAATGAAGGCATGGCACAGAATATGTGCTCCAAAATTATCTGTGCATGAGTGGATGGATCCTAAGGAGCTCAATAACAACAATAATAATGGCTAACCCAAATGCTCACTCTGAGCCAAGCACACATATGAATTCACGTAATCCTCTTAATAACCACGTGAGGTTATGATAACATAAACGGGAATTCTTTGCATGGTTCAAAACTGACAAAGCACCCATCTCCGAGGCTTTAAACACATCAGTAGTGTGTTCCAGTTTAGACAGACTGTCACGGAGATTTTTATGTTTTAAGAAATGAATATCAACAAGGCTGCGCCCTACTCAGTTACACAGATCGGAACTGTACACTTCCCACGGGATTCAGCATTTCATCGAAAACATTTTCTAGGTGCAAAGGTCGAGATGAAATACCCACCATCTGGATGACACTCTTTTCCTCTCTACTGAGAGCGCCAGGAAACTGTCGCAGAAATTCCGCACCCACGTGAAACACTCGGGGACACAGCCCCAGTGAATCATGCCCGCCACCAATTGCTCATTTTCCTGCTGCACCCCCTCCCCCCCCCCACCCCCGTGTCTCTCCATCATTAACTGCTATTCCTGAGTCACAGCTTTGGTTTGTTGTCTATCTGTTTGGTGGTTTTAATCCCTCGGCACAAGGCTTACCCATTCCAACTCTGCAACCTGATAAGACTCTGCCTCTGCCCTTAGTTTAAATAAACCTCCAATTTCCTCTCCAGGTTTGAGACTCAGCAATGCGGGCAAGGCCGGTATCTTTGGACCTCTGCATGTGTGTGTTGGTGTATGTAGATGTATGTATGCATAATATCTATTGCCCCTGACGTTTTAATTCTGCCGCCAGATCTCTGCAGATGTCAGACCACCGAACACCCCACTCACAGTCAAGGTCCACAGGCAAAGCAAGTTTACTCCCGGAACCCTGCATTCAGAGTCACAAAGGGCCAAGCACTGTCTGAGTTGCTGGTCCGCTGTTATCCTCTTGAGTCCCCCAACTCACATTCAAAATTAAAAAGACGAGGGGAGGATGGGAGGAGAGCCATAGACACGCTGACCCTAACGCAGGAGCAGAGCGGCCTCTGGAAACCTCCGGAATCTGCATCCCGCTGCACTCACTAAAGAAATGAAACATGATGCCCTCAGAATCCCCTGGCAGCCAGGAGCCAGGGCTGAAGGAAGCACTCCTAACATGTCAGGGCCTCCCCGCAGCTCAAAGGAAGGCAAAGACCACGGCCAGTGTTGAAAGAATAACAGAACGAAGAGGGAGAAAGTGAGTCAAGAGAAATAACATGTCACACCAGTCAGGATGCCTATTGTCCAAAATACAGAAAATAACTAGTGATGGCGAGGATATGGAGAAACTGGACCCCTTGTCCGTTGCTAGTAGGAATATAAAATGGTGCAGCCACCAAGGAAAGAGCATGGAGAGTCCTCAAAAATCAAACACAGAATTGCCAGAGGAGCCTGTAGCCCCAAAAGGAGTGAAAGCAGGTCTCAGATCTTTGTCCACCCACGTTCAGAGCAGCGCTATTCACAACGGCCAAAAGGTTGTCGCAACCCAAGCGTCCGTCGAAGGATGAATGGATACACTGGTAGATACACATGCAGTGCCATACTATTCAGCCTCAAGAAGAAATGGAATTCTGTTCCGCACTACAACATGAATGAACCTTGAAGACACTATGCTATGTGAAATAAGCCAGTCACTAAGAGACAAATATGGTATCACTCCTCTTAGGAGAGAGGTTCCTCGGACTGTCACACAGGCTGACAGCGGGACGGAGACAGTGTTTAATCAGTTCAGAGCTCCAGTCGGGGAGGAGGAACAAGTTCTGGGGATGGGTGGTGCTGAGATCTGCACAACAAGGCGAAGGTCCTTAATGCCACAAGACCGTACACTTTAAAATGGTCAGCTTTATGTTACGTATATTTTACCACTATTTTTAAAATATTTTTTTATTGATTTCAGAGAGAAAGGGAGAGGGAGAGAGAGAGAAACATCAACGATGAGAGAGAATCATCAATTGGCTGCCTCCTGCAGGCTCCATCCACACAGGGGATTGAGCCCATAACCTGGGCATGAGCTCCTCCAGGGAATCCAACCTTGACCTCTTGGTTCATAGGGTCAATGCTCAACCACTGAGCCACGCTGGCTGGGCTACCACCATTTTTTTTTTAAATAAAAGATGGTCATTATATTCGGGAATTGACCTTTCATCTCTCAGACGGGGAGACTTGGGCACCTCTGGGGCAAAATAACATAAAAAAAGACGAATTTGGCAAAGACAGGTTACGGGCTCCCTCCCCCACAGGAGGCTGTGGGAGGAGCACAGCAGGGTGAGAGTCCTGCACCTGCGGGGAAAGCAGGAGGGAAGAGAGGAGGGCGAGGAAGAGGTTACACACCCCCGGGGCCGGGGCCGCTCCCCTCTATCTAGCTCCCATCTGTCACTCTGTCTTGTGCTCTCCCTATGCACAGTGCACTTGACCTGCACTTTAGATTTACTCAACAAAGAGCAGGTGAGTGGGCGGGTGGATGCTTCAACTACTCACTAGAATGTGGGGAGAACTGTCTCGTCACTGTTCTGGTTTAGAAAAAGTCACAGCACTTCACTCACATTTCATGGTTCCTTTCAACTCATTCTTGCCAGGGGGGGGGCGGGGGGCCGGGGGGCATTTCCAAGTCCCCTGAATACTCAGAGTATGGTCTTCCTTAGCATTCAGATCCAGATAATGTCTACTCCGGTGGCTCTTTCATTTACTGATCTACCTATTTGCCTTCAGTACCGGGGCATCCTTTGCAGATGTTAGTACACAATCCGTTTCCTCGAGGAAGGAGGTCACCTTCAGCCTTTAAATGTCCCGGCATTTCATAAAGTTGGAACTAGAAGCGACCCCTGCAATAATCCAGCTCCAAGATTCTCAAACTGGGAGTACACACCCTTACGCTGGGGAGAGCCCCAGAGCCCCAAGGAAATAAGGTGCATCTTCCTTGAGAGAGTTTTATACAAGGCGGCAGTTTACATGACTTTATTTTTAAAACAGACAAGAACCCTGTGTTCTGGCCTTCACCAAAGGAACCACTGGACTAACACTGAAAAGTGCTGGAAGCCTCAGGCTGAGCTCCCCAACCCCCTTCCCAGGGGTCCGACGGGGCAAGTTTAGGAAGCATCCATAGAACCCATTTCATAGCTCGAGACATGGAGGCCAAAAGACTCCCAATGCTGTGCGTTGGTGGCCTGAGAAATCACCAGTTACCAGTCTTCACCAAAGGATTCACAGCTTCTCGGAAAAGCGCACCGCTCACCGGGTGAGGCTGGGAGCGGCCCTTCCCAGAATGCTGGACCGGAAGCCCAAACAAGAGCTCACCTCCCTTCCCTTCCACCCTCTCCCACCTCCGGGCATGTGCCCTTGACCAGAATCGAACCTGGGACCCTTCAGTCCACAGGCCAACGCTCTATCCTCTGAGCCAAACAGGCTAGGGCTCACCATTTACCAGTCTTTACCAAAGGATTCACAGCTTCTCGGAAAAGCGCACCGCTTACCGGGTGAGGCTGGGAGCGGCCCTTCCCAGAATGCTGGACCGGAAGCCCAAACAAGAGCTCACCTCCCACCCCTTCCACCCTCTCCCACCTCAGGTGCCCTATTAACAAACACATCATTGCGTGAGCTTCTCCATGAATAATAATGCCACACGGCCCTTCAGAAGACACACACCGAAGCCTTGCTTTAAGCAGCTGCGCATCATTTGGGGTTCTATGCAGTTCAGCGGCATCCAGAGCTACACATATGCTACTGCTTACTGTCCCCTGGCTACAACTTGGAGCTTTTCAGCACTGCTGGTGGCCTCCACGCGGATACACCTAATAAGACAGATGAGAATAGGAAACATTTGTTCGAGAAGAAGAAAAAGGAAGGGAGGAGCCAGAAGACCCATTCAACAGTCTGTCTCTCACAACAGACTCACTCACCCAAGACTATAAAATTAAATCTGAGACTCCTGGGGTTAGAGGAAACGGTTCTTCCCCTAACACCTTGATCTCCTAAAAGGCGCATCCCTTTGTCCTCCCCCACAAACATCATGGCGCATACCAAGTACGGATGAGTTAAAGAGTCAGAATACATTTTCAAAACCAAGGCTCAAGTAAGTAATCCTATGTTTGAAGAGGCTGGTTGTTGTAACATTATCCCCGAGGCGCATCCCTTTGTCCTCCCCCACAAACGTCATGGCGCATGCCAAGTACGGATGAGTTAAATAGATCGGAATACCTTTTCAAAACCAAGGCTCAAGTAATCATATGTTTGAAGAGGCTGGTTGTTGTAACATTATCCCCGAGCTTATTAAACTTCCCAGCATAGTGTTAAACTGCACCCCACGTGAAAGGCTGGATTTAACATCTGCAAACCTCTGAGTTTCAATGAACACGTCCTCCAATGCCTTTCTCAACCGAGGCCTAAAGGGGGAAAAAAGAACCGCCCCTTGTAGGAAAGGTGGCCACCTGCCTGTCTGCCCTCCTGGGCTGTTTATGAGCTGCACGGAGCCACAGAACAATCGTGTCTATGAAAAAACCCCGACAGCTGCTGGCACAGGGAAGGCCCAAGGTCTGCTGTCCATCATGGGAGCACGCGGTCAAGATGCGGAGCCCAGATTCATCTAACAATTAGAGACCTACTATGTGCAAGGTCAGAGGCAGGGGCTCAGAATGCAACGACAGGAAGCAAGTCCCCATCGGATGGCAAACACTAAGATGCTGCTAGTTGGGAAACGGGGGAAAAAGTTTAAGAACTCCTTTCAATTCAAATAATGCTCTTTTATTTTACATGGCCTGATTCGACCCTCACAATATAAGAAAGACAATAATTACCACTGTAATATCTCTTTCTTATCCCTTTCGGGGCTCAAAGCCAACTCACAAACCTAGTCATGTTGGAATGAGACCTGGAAACTCTCACAGGTCATTTAGTCAAACTCTTTGCCCTGCCCTAGCCGGTTTGGCTCAGTGGATAGAGCTTCCGCCTGCAGACTGAAGGGTCCCAGGTCCGATTCCAGTCAAGGGCACGTACCTTGGTTGCAGGCTCCTCCCCAGAACCGGGGCAACCAATCAATTGTGCAGGAGGCAACCAATCAAAGTGTTTCTCTCACATCGCTATTTCTCTCTTTCCCTCTCTCTTCCACTCTCTCTAAAAATCAATGGAAAAATATCCTCAGGTGAGAATAAAACAAACAAACAAACAAACAAAAAACTCTTTGTCCTGGCAGGGTAGCTCAGTTGGTCACAGCATTGTCCTGATATGTCAAGGTTGTAGATTCAATCCCCCATCAGGGCACAGACAAGAATCAACCAATGAATGCATATGAAAGTAGAACAACAAATTGATGTATTTTTTTTCTCTCTCTCTCTCAAATCAATTAAAAAGTGTTTTTAATTAAAAAACTCTTTAAGCCTTACAACAGTCTGATGAGGTTTGTTTTGTTTTTTGCTTTGGGTGCAGGGGGGGCAATCCCAGAGAAGGGAAAGCCAGGTCGGAGAGGTTAAATAAGGGCCCAAGGTCACAGCCAGCAGAGAAAAAGAGGAGCTGGGATTTGAATCCAGGTTTCCCACCGCAAGGCCAGTGTCCTTGCAGAAGGAGCACACAGCCAGGGTGGAGACACTCTTCAGGGAGCACTGGGGATGGGAAACCAAACCTCACAGGTCCCTGGGGCATGGAACAGGAAATGGCTAGGCCGGGGTCAAACAGTAACACAACTCTTGCCAAGACCGTTGCCTGGGGCCATGACTTTCTAAGCCAGCTCAGCATCCCAGAGACCAGCTCAGCTGTCCAGGTAGCCTGTCTACACTCGTCTGGACACCTCTGTGATGACAGAGGGGTCAGGGATCAAAGTACACGCAAGTGTGACCTTTCCAAACGAAAAGAGAAAGAGAGACGTGCCATCTGTCACTCCAGCTTCCCCTCTGACCCTGCCAGCCAAGCTCCCTCTCTGTCATCCTCCGCTGGGGAAGTGGGGTGACCCTCCCCAGGGCAGACTGCCCGGGGCGGGCATTGCTCTGCCTGACCACCTCCCTCTCTGCTGATCCTGTAGCTGGAAACCAGGAAAAACCCTGTTCCTAGCTTGTTTCCCTAGTCTGTCACCCCTGCCACCAAAAGAGCTCCAGGAAAAAAGTACCCGTCCTGCCTCCAAACGCACAGACAACATTGACAACGTTTACACATTGGTTAGAAGCAATTAAGTTCTAGTATCAGAAAAAAAAAAAAAAAAACTTAAAGAAAAAAATCAGAGGCTTAAACACCCAGACGGAGGGGGCGCTGAGAGCGGACATGGATTTCAGTGTCTGCACAAGCGAAGGGGCTCAAACATCGAGGCCTAACGGGCAGGGGCTCCCGCCCCAGCCCCGAGAGCAGCTGGGCTTTCGACTTGTCCCTCCCGAAGCACAACCTTACAGAAGACGCGACCATACATCTCAGTATGTCTGTTTTAACCCGCAAGAGGCTGACCTTGGAGGTTCGCAGAGAATCCTAAAACTCACACGTCGAAAAAGTGGCGAAGTGAACTTGCTAACTCTCAGAATGCAGGGGGGAGGGTCCCAAACGCCATCTGTCCGGCCCCCAATGCATTCAGGTCTCATTTCCATTCGTTCTGCGGGCGAGGGGGAATGGGGTGCTGCTCGCGCTGGGCTGGCTCAGCTCGGGGTTCTTTGAAGGTCGCCTCACTGTCACCTCCGAGGACCAGCGCTCGGGATCCAGGCCCCACGGCGCGACCGACAGGGCACCCTCTCTATGGGCACCTATCTGGGCCCCGAGAGGCTCCCGCAGGTGCGGCGGGTGCAGGATGGGGACTGCCCCCTACCCCCCCCTC